TAGCCCCTGGCAACCTCCATTTTACTTTGTATCTCTAGAATTTGCCTATTATAGGTACTTGATGGAAATGAAGTCGTATAGTATTTATCTTTTTGTGACTGTCTTATGTCTCTTAGCTTAATATCCTCAAGGTTCATCTATATTGTAATATATGTCAGTTTCCTTATCACTCACCTATTTTTAATTTTGCCTTTTTTCTTTATGGAATGCCTATTATTTCATATCTTTGACCCAAATTTGATGACTAGCCTTGTGCTCCAAAGCAGATTTTTCAAAAGTTGATCTGCCAATGAAAAATTCCTCATTTTGAGGTATTTCAAAGGTATACTTTTCCCTGCCACTTTCTGGAACATGTCAGTATTTCAAAGTTAATCTGTATTGTGTATGATATCTTGTGGATTTTGACTTTTTGAAATAGAAGAGAAGGAAAAGAAATATACTGGTCTATTTCTGCTTTTTGTTTTCTTGAATTGTCGTCTCACTCTGTCGCCCAGGCTGGAGTGCAGTGGCACACTCACAGCCACTGCAGCCTCGACCTGCTAGGCTCAGGTGATCCTTCCACCTTAGCCTTCCAAGGAGCTGAAGCTATAGGTGCCTGCTATCACGCCCAGCTAATTTTTTAATTTATTGTTGCAGTGAGGTCTCACCAAATTGCCCCGACTGGTCTCAAACCCCTTGGCTCATGCAGTCCTCTTGCCTCTGCCTTCCAAAGTGCTGGGATTACAGGCGTGAGCCACCACACCCAGCCTCAGTCTGTTTTTTATATAAACTTTATCTTGGAAATGAATTTAACAAGGGACAATATGTTCTTAAAATTATTTCTGGCAACTTCTGTTTGTTAAAGTCGTGGATGCATAGCTTGCTTTCACATTGAACTGGTGTGTGTTTTGTAGCTTTGTGGCTACCTGTGGCTTGGCACAAGCAGTGTGACAGTGCAGGGTGGGAGTTACCTGGTATCCCGGAAATGAGCATTGAGCTAAGATGGCTCTGGATATTGGCAGGCTGAGACCCGTTAGCTCAGAAACTGCCAGTGCCAACCTCAAGTGTTTACATATTCAGTTGTTTTGAACATAGTCCAAATAAGCAGATTTTTAGCCTTTTGAGCCTACCTGCTTTGCAAGAAACTGCACCCAACACTTGCGAGCCATAGGCAAGAGAAAGCCCAGGGCTATAAAGACCCCTATAAAGTCTCTGCTGCCCTTTAGAGCTGTGCCACAGAGACTCCCTCTGAGTGACATCGCCTGGCCCTGGATGCTCCTCCTCTGCCCTTCTCCTCTGTGTGTTCCCTTGCTTTCCTTCTCTTCTGAATTGCAAGCTTTCTCTGCTTGCAAACTTATCAGAGAGGTGCCCAAATAAAACTGTGTGTGCCACTGCCACTTCATGCTTCTTCTTCCTGATAGCCCCGAAACTCCTCGGACCCCCGACTCTTGCTTTTTAGCAGAATTGTGACAGAAATCGGGAAATGGATGAACCCTCTGCAAATTCTGTGCAGAGTTGCCACACTGTACACTTTGGCCGTAGTAAAAGCCTTGCCTGTGTTTCCCTTGCATGTGAGCAGCACACATGTCATTTGTCTTTAATGTCACCACAGTGTAAGGGGAGCAGTTGGCTTCAGACTTCCCAAGGCCTAGAGTGGTGGTTTGGTTGGTGGGTGATGGCTTGGTTGGGGGTCTGTGTATACACAGCCCCCTGTGACGTGCGGTTGGAAGGTTCCACCCACTTGTCCTGGTCCTCTGCCTGCCCTTCCCATCTGATCAGCAGCCTCTTAGTCCACTTTTCAGGGGAAGTCCACTCTCTTCTGCCTCAGCCCTCCCCCTCCCCCTTCCCTTCCATTATGGCCAAACTTAACGTCCTATCAATGTTAAGAGCATAAACCAAAGTGATAGCAAGAGGCTGGAAAGAGAAAAGAAAGTTTAAAAAGTATGTGTCTAGATACATAACCTCCCCCGCTTTCTTCAAACGATTGCAGAACTGGTCAGTGAACTAAAAAGTTCATCATTATATCGTCAAGGCCGTGGCCTCTCCTAGAACATTGAGTTGGCTGTGAGTTTTCTAACTTGAAGTATATGAGAGGTCTTCCCGTTAGGACCTCAGTTGCTCTGATTTATGTCACGGGAATGGGAATTAAATTTAAGTCCCACAATTTTGGTCAGTGCACACCTGGAAAGCAAGAATTTGGTAAAATGTGCTTTTTTGTCATTCATTAGAAAAATTACTTCATACCAGAATCAAAATGTCTATGTCTGTACATCATCATGAAGATGCAAAAATATCAATGAAATGCTAGTGTCTTTTATTTTTCTGTTGCTGACAAACTGATTAAAATGTTATGTCACAGTTAGAGTCTTTGAAATAAAACCTAAAATTCATTTGGATTTAGTCTTTTTACCTACCAAATGAAATATTTGCTAGGTTTTCTCCTTTTTTTTTTCACTTAAATAATTTTGAGGAATAAAATATAAGAAGTCATAAATTGCCACCATTTTCAACCCCTAATAAAACAGTGTATCTTGGCAGTAATCAGTGGGCATTAGAAATGTGAAAAGCTAATGGGACTTTGTCATGGATGAATCTGGCTGATAGTCCCTGAGCTCACTGGTTAATGTCACAAAGAGAAGTAGCCAGACATTATGTGCCTCCTCACAGGATCCAGTAGGAAATACCCCACACCAGCTTTGGCAAGGATTCTTTCCCCCCAAAATCAAACCTAAGTCTCATTTAGCCTCTAAATCTAACCAGCAGTTTGCAGGAAACATTAGAGTACAGGAACGTGTGAAAACAACACAAGGGTGCAGCCAGTAAACTCCAAAAAAGTGAGAAACTCATGAGATAAATGAACTGTTTCTTCAACAAACAATGGCCAAAAAAAAAGGAGGGGGGATGGAGAAACCTGTTTTATAGTCAAAGCGATTAAAGACACATTAGCAAGTACGGTGCATGGGTTTTGTTGGGACCCAGATTTGACCAAACCGACTGCAAAAAAGACATTGCTTACTGTGGAATGCCAAGTGATGCCTGGGAGATGGGCAGGAGTTCTGGAGTTGGAAAACCATCCTCTCGCAGCCATTAAAAGGATTGGTTTAAGCAGGAATCATCAGTGGGTGCCAAATTTAGAAAGGAATTTGGAAGACTAGAATATATTCATGGTCTGAAATTTTGTCCCCACTCGCCGCTTGTGAGTTACAAGAGGGAAGAAAAAACAATAATCATACAGTGATGAGACAGCACCTTGAACAGGTCATCAAATCCACATCACCACTATACTAGCAGTATACGAGTGCCCAGTATACTAGCAGAGAATGCAGACACCTGAAGTGGATAGTGAGGAAACGATAGGCCAACTTAAATGACGAACATTCTATTGGAGGAAAAAGGGTGAGGAGGGCACTTCTGTTCTTAAATATCAGTGTGATAAAAGACAAAGACAGACTATGGAACTATTGCAGATAAAGGAGACTAAAGAAACTGGAGAGCCAGAAACACTATCTGGCCTAACTTATGTCTCATACTGAAGGGGGAAAAGCCTGTAATCCCAACACTTTGGGAGGCCAAGGAGAGAGAATCACTGAGTCCAGGATTTCGAGAACAGCCTAGGCAAGCTTAGCGAGACTTCAGTCTCCGTCAACTGATGAAACTGGAATATGAGTGAGTGAATGGATCAGGGTATTGTCTCATTGGCTAAATGACCTAAAAGTTTTGTTGTGATTGTGTAAAGTAATATCCTTAGTCTTAAGAAGTAGTCACCTAAGAATTTAGAGATAAAGGACCATAATGTCTTTATTTAACTTTCTCTAAGATGGTTCAGAAAAAATATATATAAAATACACACACGACTGGGCTCAGTGGCTCAGCCTGTAATCCCAGCACTTTGGGAGGCCAAGGCAGGAAAGTTGCTTGAATCCAGGAGTTTGAGACCATCCTAGACAACATTGCAAGATCTCATCTCTATAAGAAATCAGAAGAAAATTAGCCAGGCATAGTGACATATGCAGATAGTCACGGCTACTCAGGAGGCTGAGGTGAAAGGATCGCCTGAGCCCAGGAGGTCGAGGCTGCAGTGAGCCATGATCTGTGCCACTACACTCCAGCTTGGGTGACAGAGCAAAAAAAAAAAAAAAAAAGAACAAGGAAATGGGGTAATAGGTTAACATTGTGTGATCTGGGCAATGGGTATATGGATCTTTGTACTATTTTATTTTTGTGACTCTTCTATAAGTTTAGAACTATTGGCCAGGCGCAGTGGCTCACACCTATAATCCTAGCACTTTGGGAGGCCAAGGTGGGATGATTGCTTGAGCCCAGAAGTTCAAGACCAGCCTAGGCAACATAGTATGACCTCTATACAAAAAATTAAAAAATGAGCCAAGCATGGTGGCACATGTCTATAGTGCCAGCTACTCGGGAGGCTGAGGCAGAAGGATCGTCTGGGCCCAGGAGGTGAGCCGTGATCATGTCACTGTATTCCAGCCTGGGGTGACAGAATGGGATCCAGACTCAAAAAACAAACAACAACAAAAAACCCTATTTCCAAATTTAAAGTTTTCTTTAAAGAAAATAAGGCATTTACGAGACAGAGAAATTTAAGCAACGACTAGATACTAAATGAGGATAGAGAATGATTGTTAATTTGGGGGTAGGAAGAGGACCCTCGTGTTTTACTTGTACATTCTGCAGTAATTTGCATGTGGCCTACAACCACTGGGATTTTCCTTAAGAGCCCAGTGGGTATTGGAGTGGGGTGGGTACAGATTAAACAGGATTACATGGGTTGATGTCATCTGACTTCATTACATGAGCCCAGTGCTTTTGTACGTTCCAAATTTTCCAAAATAAAACAAAAGAAAAAAAAGGAAAGGATCATTTATTTTCATTTTATTTCAAGTAGAAGTACTGCATGTGTATTCCTGTGTGGGTCTTGAAATGTTTGCATTTCATTAAAGGATTTCTTTTTTAAAATGTGTATTTTTCCCTTTGTTATATATTGTTTATTTTCCTTTCAGGAAGCCGGCATTCTTCCACAAGCAATGAAGTAACAGAAGTGGAATTACCAATGGAAGGTTAGAAAAACAAAGCACGCCTTCCTTCCCTCTTCCCTCTCTCTCTTTCTCTCACTTTAAGTTTACCGTATTTTTACAAAGAACACATATTCTTTTAAACATGTGTGTTGGAAAATAAAGAAGATGATTTCTTGGCCTGCCTGCCTTCTCGGAAAACACGTTGAGTCTTTGTCCTAAGATATATATATATAAGGACTTCACCGCTTTTACTTTTCTGATCTATAAGTGATTCTAGTTAAACACCCAGAAATAGACATTAACTTCACACTGGTGCTGTTTGTTGCTTTATTTCATTTTGTCTTTTTTTTTTTGAGTTGGAGTCTCACTCTGTCGCCCAGACTGGAGTGCAGTGGCCGCTCCCGGCTACTGCAGCCTCGACCTGCTGGGCTCCGGCAATCCTTCCGCCTCAGCCTTCCAAGTAGCTGGAACTATAGGCACGTGCTACCATGCCCGGCTAATTTTTTTTTCTATTTATTGTAGAGATGAGGTCTCGCCAAGTTGCCCAGGTGGGTCTCGAACCCGTGGGCTCAGGCAATCCACTCATCTCAGCTTCCCAAAGGCGTGGGATTACAGGTTGAGCCACCAAGCCCGGCTGAATTGTTCATTCTTTTGCAAAATTAGTCATTTTGAACCTGCTTGCTTTGAGCCAAGAAGACAAACTGACTCATTTAACTTTCATTTTTTAAAGTTGTGGTAAAAAAACACATAACCTAGAATTTACCATCTTAACCCTCTCTAAGTGTACAGTCCAGTAGTGTTAAGTATATTCACATTGTTGTGGAAAAGATCTCCAGAATTCTTATCTTGCAAATGGAAACAGCATACCTGATAACCAGCAACATCCCTTTTTCTCTCACCCCAGCCCCTGGCAACCACCGTTCTACTTTCTGTTTCTATGAAATTGACAGCTTTAGCAGGGCTCAGTGGCTCAGCCTGTAATCCCGCGCCTTTGGGAGGCTGAGGTGAGTGGATTGCCTGAGCCCGCGGGTTCGAGACCCGCCTGGGCAGCGAGACCTCATCTCTACAATAAATCAAAAAATCAGCCGGGCGTGGTAGCGCACGCCTGTCATTCCGGCTACTCGGAAGGCTGAGGCGGAAGGATCACCGGAGCCCAGCAGGTTGAGGCTGCAGTGGCCAGGAGCGGCCACTGCACTCCAGTCTGGGCGACAGAGTGAGGCTCCAACTCAAAAAAAAAAAAAAAAAAAAGAAATTGACAGCTTTAAGCAGGGCTTGGTGACTCATGCCTGTAATCCGAGCACCTTGGGAGGCTGAAGCTAGAGGACTGCCTGAGCCTAGGGGTTTGAGACCAGCCTGGGCAACTTGGCAAGACCTCATCTCTACAGTAAATCAAAAAATTAGCCTGGCATGGTAGCACACACCTATAGTTCCAGCTACTTGGAAGGCTGAGGTGGAAGGATTACCTGAGTCCAGTAGGTTGAGGCTGCGGTGGCCATGAATGTGCCATTGTACTCGAACCTGGGCGACAGTGACACTCAAACTCTAAATAAATACAAATATACATATGTACATCTGACAACTATTTTTAAAAGGAAATTGACAGCTTTAGGTATTTCATATATGTGAAATCACCCCACCTTTGTCTTTCTGTGACTGGCCTACTTCACTTAAGAGAGCTCTTCAGGGCCAGGCTCGGTGGCTCAGCCTGTAATCCCAGCACTTCGGGAGGCCGAGGCCTGAGCCCAAGGGTTCCAGACCTGCCCGGGCCATTTGGCGAGACCTTGTCTCTACAATGAATCAGAAATTAGCTGGACATGGTAGTGCGGGCCTACATATCCGGTTACTTGGAAGGCTGAGGCGGAAGGATCTCCGGAGCCCAGCAGGTAGAGGCTGCGGTGGCCATGTGAGTGCCACTGTCCTCCAGCCTAGACGACAGAGTGAGACTCCAACTCAAAAAAAAAAAGGTATCTCTTCAAGGTTCATCTATGTTGTAACATGTGATAGGATTCTTCCGTTAGTTTTTACTTTTCTTGTTTTCTTCAGCTCAGTATCTGAATTTCTTTGGGTGTGGGAGAGTGTAGTTATTTCAAATTCAGCTTAAATCTGTTCCTCTTTTGCATTATTATACTTCCCTTTGGTAAGGCCGGTTGGATATTGTTTGGTCTTTTTTTTTGAGTCAGAGTCTCACTCTGTCATCCAGACTGGAGTGCAGTGGCATACTCGCAGCTGCTGCAGCCTCGACCTGCTGGGTTCAGGGGGTCCTTCTGCCTCAACCTTCCAGGTAGCTAGAACCACAAGTGCGTGCCATCATGCCTGGCTTTTTTTTTTTTAATTGTAAAGACAAGATCTCACCAAGTTACCCAGACTAGTCACAAACACCTAGGCTCAGGCTATCCTTTCACCTCTGCCTCCCAAAGTGCTGGGGTTACAGGCATGAGATACTGTGCCTGGCATTTTTTTTTTTTTGAGTTGGATTCTCACTCTGTCACCCAGACTGGAGTGCAGTGGCCG